TTTTTGGTTTTTCTCCGGTACCAGGAACCGAACTCACGACCTTGTGCTTGCCAGGCAGGCGCTTTGCCGCTGAGCTAAATCCCCAGCCCCTGTGCCATTCCTTCTTACAATGAAATTTGTCGGCACCATTTTTTTTTGTCCCTAAGCAAGCAAGCTTCTATGAAGGCGTTAACGAAAACACATCTCCTTCTGTTTTATTTTTACGTCAACTTGAGGAGAACTAATATGTATAGAAAGTGAGTAGAGGCAGATCTTCATATCAAACATTATTGTCATGGGATTTATATAAAACAAAGTTGATTGAAATAATGCTTCACATGGAAATTAAACAGTGCTTCAGTGTAAGTTAAAATTTTCACATACAGGGGCTGGGGATTTAGCTCAGCGGCAAAAGCGCCTGCCTGGCAAGCGCAAGGTCGTGAGTTCGGTTCCTGGTACCAGAGAAAAACCAAAAAAAAAAAAAGTAAAATTTTCACATACAAATTTGGCCTACAAAAATGCATTGCCAGCCGGGCATGATGGTGCACACCTGTAATCTTAGCACTCTGGAGGCTGAGGCAGGAAGATCATTGTGAGTTCAAGACCAGCCTGGGCTACAAAGCAAGCTCAAGGCCAGCCTGAACTACATAGTGAGACCCTGTCTCAAAAAGACAAAAAAAAAAAAAAGGAATGACATGTCAGTCACTGATCGAACCAAGAGTCCACAGTTCAAAGCCTCTATTCAGATAGTGTGTGCCACCTAAGTCCTCTTCAGCTTCTAAGTTTGATACCTGAGCTAAAACATGTTCTTCATGCCTGCCACTCTCATCTCCTGTCCCCTGCCTTTCTGTCATCTCTGCCACATCACAGAGCAGTTTTCCTGAGAACTACGCACATACTTTGGTCACTGTGTCCCTTTGTGGCCACAACTTGAGTTGGACCCTCACCATGTGCCCAAGTACTATGCCTCCCAGCTCAAACCCATCAGATTTTCCAGAGGGTTAGTAACAAACCCAAAATTGAGCTTACCCTCCTGGTGCCCTAAGTTTTCGTACTACTGACTGGGGTCCCTTCACCCATACTAGACACCCTCTCGAGCTAACTGGCTGGGAAAACTGTTCTCTCCCTTCCAGCTTCTCAGACACATCAGTGGGACAGGGCAGGTCACTGCAACATGTATTTAATTAGAGGCAAACCATCTTCCTGGCACAGCCTGAAACAAATTACATTCTCAGGCACGTTATCTGATTTGTCCCCCTTAATTCAGGATAGTAGATGGATGTTACACTTCTGTCTACTTTTGCACAAAGCTTTCACCTGAACTTCTTTAAACCCAGTCATTATGACCTTCATTTAAGACAATTTAGAGTCGAAACCAACTCAAAGACCCAAGACACCCATGTGACCCTTAGATCCTCCTCATTTCCCCATCACCGTGATGTGCTGACTGTCCCTGCCCACTGAATACCCTCACCTTCATTTCTTCCCCTCGCTTCTAAGGATCTTGAATCTCAAGCTGAGGCACTCCTTTTCCCACAGCACTCCAGGCAACCCTGAGGGTTACCTGTGCTTTCTGCTTAGTGAGGACTCAGAAGAAATCTAAACTGAAGGGACTCAAAGCCACAGGCATACAGCAGGCTGGTGTGAAACAGCACTTTCTGTTACTTAATTATTCAAAGCCCACAGCGAATTTCAACCTTTCTCACACAGCAGCTGTCAGAACGCATACTCTCTCTCTCTCTCTCTCTCTCTCTCTCTCTCTCTCTCTCTCTCTCACACACACACACACACACACACACACACACACCGTGGAGGATTCCTCTTTAGGGACCAAAAAGCCACTTCCATGTGCTCTGCCCTCCTCTCCCAAATGTAGGTCCACTCTTCCAGCGTCACAGCTGTCCCTGCTTCCTCTCTTCTGGATCAAGCACAAGTCAAGCACCGGAGCTCAGACTTCCCCAGCCAGCCCCGCGGCCCTGCTATCGATGCCTTCAGCGCCGCCTTACCCCGCATTCTTACTCCTAAGGAGGTGTCTCTGGAGGGCTCACACATGTTTTGTGTTTCACTGACTTTCCCCCAGGATGTTCAGGTTAGCAGTGCCCTTCTCAAACCCGCAGCAGTGCTAGGGGTCGGTTATGTGGGATCGAGAGCAATGGGGCCTGACCTGATGAAAGTTCACCAGTTTCCCTTGGGAGTTTCTCAAAACTCAAAAAAGTAAAGAAAGGAAAAGGAAGGTCGAAAAAATTTAGGTCACTGTTAAGCCTTTTTTTTCAGACCCACACACTACTACACCACTCTGGAGACAGTAAGAATTCCTTTTTGCCCACGAATCCAGACCCTAACAGGTGAGCCCTCTGAGACCATGCTGAGACTCGGTCCTAGTCTGGAGTTAGTATCTGCGTGAGCGATCTTCTTTCCAGCCACAAGAAGGAATAAAGAGATAATACAGACAGAAAGCAGAGGAGAGTCCCAGACGCCCCAAGCATCCTGGCCTCCCCATTACCGCGGCGCCCCGGCAGAAGCAGCCTGGCCTCGCCCCCTCCCGCGTGCGCCCCGACCGCCAGGGCGGCGCCCCTTACCTTGCGGGAGTACGGCGGCTTGCTCAGGTGGATGCCGTCCCGGACGAGCTTATCCCTGATCATGATCTTCAGCTTGAGTTTCGGGTAGCTCACCAGCTCCCTGCTGCGGGGGGCGGTGGTCTGGGCGGCGCGCGGGTCCCCGCGGGTGCCCTGGGACGCGCCGCCACATGGCTCCCCCCGGCGGCCGGCGGGGACGAAGTCCACGGGCGACGCGGGCTGCGGCTCCAGGGTGAAGTAGAGGCCGGCGGCGGCGGCGTCCTGCTCCCGCAGACGGCGCACGGCCTCCAGGACGCGGCGGCGGTGCGCGGGCGCCAGCACCCCGATGGCATCCAGGTCCGGGTCTCCGATCTGCTTGCACACCTCCAGGTCATCGTAGCCGTTATCCACGAAAGACTCCGCATACTGCGGGAGCTGCAGCGCTTTCAGCCACTCGTAAACTATGTTGGTGCACATGGTGGGGCTGGGACCCTCGCCGGCGGACACCCTCGCGCCGCCCGAGAGGCACCAGCTCGCGAACTTTGAGTCCTGTTCTCCACCGGGGAGAAGAAATCACAGTAAAGTTTTCCTGCCAGAGGAAAGAGTCAGGCCGGAGACCCAAGCCCTCCGGAGAGGCGAGAGAGGGAAACGCTTGCACGCACCAAAGTGAATCCCAGAGCAGCCGCGAGCGCGCGGCGCTGGGCTGGGCGAGCGCTCCGCTGCGCGCCGCCCCTGGATGCGCGGCCGCGGG